TAAAGTACTTTAGGGCCTCATCAGGGTCCTTACTCACAAACTCTCCATTGCACATCATGTCAAGGAGCTGTTGGTGGCCTAGCGTAATTCCTTCATAGAAGAAACTAACCAATTGTCATTTTTCAAATTGGAATGGAGTGCAAAAAGTCCTTGTATCTATCCCAACACTAATAGAATTGCTCATTTGATTTTTCAGAAAATTTTTAAATTTTCTTCTTTAGAGCAGTTGTCTTGGGTACCAAAAAAATTTGTTTAGAAATTCAAATAACATTTGCACCCAAGAACTTATCGAGCGGGGTTTCAAGGAGCTCAACCAAGTTTTTACTTAGTCCTAGAGAGAAAAGGGGAATAATTTGATGCAAGCCATGTCTTCCATGGCATGATTTGAAATTAATGTTTCAACTATTTCCTCAAACTCCTTAATGTGTAGGTAATGATTTTCTCGTTTCATGCCATATAATTGAGGAAGTAATTGCAACATGCATGGTTTTACAAGGAATCCGTGCGCTTGCACAAGAAGAAGTATGCATGAGGGGATGGTGCTTCTAGTAGGTTGAAGATTATCTCTCATTGATCACGTCGGGGGATCAATAGGGATATTATTTCCTTCATTTCTCGAAGGGGAAAATTGCATTCAGGAGTTTTGCACTCGGGGATTTCGCACTCCCCCACCCCTCAAATTATTAGCACCATCATCCCCAAAATTGTCTCCGACATCTTCGAGTGGGTCTTGATTTATGTTCATATTTGGTCCTAAGTCACGTGTCACTAGTCTATTTTGATTATCACGTCCCCACATGCCAATACACTAACTACAATTGAAAATTTATGCACAATTATTTACAAAAGAGCAATGTACCTTGGCCTGTGATGAGAATCATGAGACTTTCCTCCGTTGTCCCCAAATCACCTTCAAACTCAGTGCTTAGCCTTCCTCGAAAATGGTGCCAAAAATGCTTTGTTTGTTTTACCTAACTTCCCATATGAACCCGGTTGTGTGTATATCTTATAGTGTATGGTGAGTGTCACTCTTCCTCGAGCTCAATGCAAAAAGTGAAAAAATTGTGTGTGGATGAACAAAAATGTTTGAGTGTACAAAATTGGTCCCCAAGCATAAAGAGTCTTACAAGGTTATGTTTTACTTGGAATGAGTATTCTAAGGTCATCTCCTCAGGGAAGGCGAGGTCGGGTGTTTTTGAAGAGTGATTTGTAAAAAGTAAAATTTGGAAAATCCTGTGATTTGAAATTTGGTGGGTTTTCGCTAATCCATAGAGGTCATCCCAATGGGAATGTCAAGTTGACTCATTTTATTCAACCAATGGTTCCTAGGTGTTTGATTTATTCATAGGAAGTAAGGGATGAGTATGGTTGTGCTTGACAAGAGCATATCCCGTGATAAGTCTATGGTGTATCAAATGTCCACAACCACGTTTGCTCTCAACCTAGAAGTTTAAACTACAAAAGAAAATAAATTCACTTCCAAAAGGTAAAGCTTGAGGGGAACAAAGCCCAAATGTAAAAATGAACCACAAGAAACCTAGCCAAACTTAATTACAACTTTGATTTAAAGAGATTAAAGTGCAAAATGGAAGGATTACATGTAAAATGGAGCTTACTACAATGAAAATGGTGAAGAAAAATGTAAAATCCATCTTTCTCTCTCTAAAACTTCATTTTCTTCCTTATACCTTTTCTCTCTAAAAGCTTGATAATCTGAAAAATGTATGTAGGAATTGTGTATTTTCGTCTATCCGCCTCTCTCTTGTCATAAGTGGTTAATGTGGATTGCTTGGAGAGAGGTTATCCAGAAAAAGTTCCAAACTTCGTCAAATCATGGTCCCCCTCTCTCCTCGTTGACCCACCCACTCCTTTATGCTTATTCTCTGAGTGTAGGGGTTAGGAGGCCATGATGGAGTGTTAAAAAGGTTAGAACAAGGATTGGATATTAAAAGGTGGGTCCTCATAGTTGGTGGAGTCGTTTGGCAGAGGATTTGAACTTTCTGGGTTATTGGTACCGGTATCTAGTGACGTGGTACTGGTACCTCGACATTTCCACATTGTTGAGTCAGTAGGGGTACAAGTGGGAGGTACCAGTACCAAAAACAAGGGGTGCCAGTAGTTGAATTCCAATAGGTTTTGGTATCGGTACCTAGTGAAGAGGTACCGATACCTTCTTCATTTCCTCCATTTTAGTAGATTGAGTTTCAAGTACCAGGTAAAGGTACCTAGTGATGTGGTACCAAGTACCGGTACCTAGTGATGTGGTATAGGTACCTACTTTTCAGAGAGCTCAGGTACCGGTACCTCGTGACTTGGTATCGGTACCTATTCTTTATTTGTTGAGATTTTTAGTTAGTTGTGGTCCCAAGCCATCCTTCTTGAGTTCCTTTCTTGCCCATTGTCCCCAATTACTATATGAGGTGCTTTATGCTTGCTCTTTCCATCCTGTCACCCGCAATCAAGTCATTCTCCATTAATCATCGCTTTGAATCCACTTTTCCAAAAATTTACTATAAAAAAAAAAAGTTCAAATGGATTCAATGAAGATTTTTATTGTGCAATATTCCATACTCATCAATTACTAAAGTAAAATATTGAATGGTTATTTGCACCTTCAGGTTTGCTAAGGTAATTAGGTTGTTGTATGGTACATAGACCTTCTAGTAAACCTGACAGTTACTATGTTATGATTTGATATATAAATTCCTTCTGATTAACTTACCATTGAGACAGGAGTTGGTTGTAGTATGGTGGCACTGTTTACCTTTTCTGTTCAAAATTCCCATAGATAGCTCCCTAAGGAATTTACCTTTGACTCTATCAAGATATATTACAACTTGACCACTAATACTTGGGTGTGCATGATTAAGATCAAGTCAATGAGTGCCATGAATTTAACTTGATCATCTTTTGAAATATCTTGATTCTTCACTGCAAAGATCACAATACCTCAATCATCCTCAAATAACTTGATCCATGTGACTCATGGGAAAAAGCCAATTACAAACAATACATTTGCAATAACTATTATAGAGTTTGTTGACACAATGCTTGATTAAGCATGATTTTGATGATGATAAACATCCAAGCATGATCTAATATGTTGATTAGTTGTGTAGATGATGAATTGTAATTGACAAGAATGAAGGAAGATCAAAGGAAGAAGAGAAAGGAAACAATCAAGAATAAAAGGATCACAGTTAGCCTAAGAAAACTGCAATCCAACATACTAGATGGGAGAACTAGTATACTGGATGGAGGAACTGGTATACCGAATGTTGAACCGGCAAAGCAAGAAAGCTTCCAATATCTTTATTTTGAAGAAGTTCCTGACAAACTGGCAAAGTGACCTAATGAACCAGTTTACCTGTTCATGAACCAACAAAGATAGAAAAATTATAGTATCTCTATGTTGCAGAAGACAATGACAAGCCAGTATACCATATAGCTGAGCTGGTATACCAGATGAGGCTCCGGTATAATGGCTTAAAATATTATTTTTCAGTATTTTGAAAGCCATTTGATCCCCACTATAAATAGTGGTCTTCAAGACCATTTTGGGTCTTCTTGGATACATGAACTTATGAACTAAGAGCCAAGAGAAAGTTCAACATTCATTGTAAAGTGATTTGATTGTGTGTAAGCTTTATAGTCCACTCTTCTTGTATTATTCTTGAGATTGAGAGAATATTCTTATAAAGCAAGAGAGAGTGTGATAATTTATTCTCCTTGAGTGAAGTTTTTAAGAGTGGAACATTTGTCTATTATTCAAATAATAGAAAGTTGTAAAGGTGTTGGAATCTCACCTATTGAAGAGATTCAAGAAAGTGAAAGAGAACCACCAAGGGGGGAAGGAAGAAGAGGACAAAGGCCAAGTGTTGGGGCTAAACCTCTATAACTCTTTGTGTTTGCTTTATCTGTACTCAACTCCTTTTTTTATACATTATTCTGAGCATATCATACACACACTTCATTACATTCATTATATTCATTACTATCATCTAGATCAACCAATTTCAAAAATAGTGAAATTGGATTTTAAATTAGGCATTGGCTTTGAAAACCTTACTCAACCCCATCTTAGGTTGCACTTTGGGTCAAAAATTAGTATCAGAACAAGGGCTCTAAGAAAAGTGTTTAATAACATTTAGAGAAAATGATCATGGCGACAATAGGAGGAAACATTGTTGAAGGACATTTGATCTCTAAACCTGCATTCTTTAATGGAAATGATATATATCATGTCTCTAGATGATGCATTATGGGATATCATTGAACAAGGATATACAAAGCCCACTAGTGATAAGAAAACTTGGACTAGTGATGAGAAGACAATAAACACAAATAATAACAAGGCAATGAACACACTTTATTGTGCTTTGAATCTACTTGAGAAACCGCAAGTCAAATATGACATATGCTAGAAGTCACACATGAGAGAACTAGTAGAGTAAAAGAATTCAAGATAAACATGTTAGTTCATGATTATGAGGTTTTCAAAATGGATCCTCATGAAAGCATATAACAAATGTTCACACATTTTACTAACATCGTTAACTCACTTAAGTCTCTCAGTAAATCTTATGCTGATGAGGAACTTGTAAGAAAAAAACTTAGGTGTCTTCCAAGATCTTGGGATGCCAAAGTAACTGCAATCATTGAAGCAAAGGACCTCAAGGCTCTTCCCTTGGAAGAACTCCTTGGCACTCTCATGAGCTATGAGATGAGTATCAAGAGAGATGATGAGCTAGAAATAAGGAAAAGAAAAAACATTGCATTCAAGGCTACCAAAGTCTCAAATGAAGAAAGCAATGAAGAGAATGAGGAAATTGATGAAGAACTTGCCTTCATCACTAGGAAGTTCCAAAGATTTCACAAGAATCAAGGTTCATACAAGAAATGAGAAAATTCAAAAAAAAGTGGGTTAATTTGCTATGAGTGCAACAAGCTGGGACACATCAAGTAAAACTTTCCTACATTGAATAAATCCTACAAGAAAGTTGCTATGAAGGCAACTTGGAGTGACAATGATAGTGACTCAGACCCTGAAGAGACTAAAGAAACGGCAAATTTATGCTTCATGGCTATTCAAGAAAGTGATGAGGTAAACTCTAAACCAAAAGAAGAAATTGAGCTTACTATAAATGAAATGTATGATGCCATACTAGAACTTCACAATGACTTGCTTGACATCACCAAAAGATACAAGGAGCTCAAGAAGAAACTTCTCATTCTTTCAAAAGAAAATGACATTTTGAAAATTGAGAATGAAAAACTCAATGTTCAAAATGTCAATTTGAAGGAGTCACAAGAGTCTTCCTTAGTTGATAAGCCCAGAAAGGAAAATAATGACTTGAGAAGGAAGAATTGTGACTTACACAAGATATTTCTAATTTCACTCAAGGTAGTGAAAAATTAGAAAAACTCTTGTCAAGTTAAAGATGTGTGTTTCATAAAGCCGGCTTAAGCTTTAATAATCACTCTAGCCAAAAGGCTTATAAGAACTTCTTTGTTAAAGAATCTAAGTCAAAAGAGATTCCAAAACATGTGCGGCCCTAAAATCCAAGCGTTCTTTCTCAAACCATTGATCACCCATCAATCTGCGAAAGTTTACCCGTGAATACTGTATAACCGAGTACTGTATAACCCAATACCACGTCATTACACCACATTCACCAGGATCATAATCAAAATAGACTTTGGGCAAAGTCTAATTTGTATGAGAGCCCTACCCAATGCATAACTTGTGCATACCATAATCATAGGACCATTCCAAGGTCCAATCCCCATCAATTAGGATTTATTATTCTCCATTTACATCATCTAAAGGGGAACATTTAAGAGGTGAAGGCACCTCAGTGTTATATTTTAAAACTTCATGTTTTGGGAAGAGGTATCTATAACACCCCAAAAACACACCCAAGATGGCATTACATTCTAAAATCATTCATATCATGAGAGCACTAATATAATCCCTTAAGAAACAAGACTTCATATGTCATCCACGAATATTTACAATATTATCCAAAAGAATAAGCCAAGTCATGGCTATTACATCTCAAAAATTAATTAAAGAAGTACATCGGAATAAACAAAAGAAGCTAGACTACACAATGTTCCAAAAAAATGTCCTAGTCTAGTACAAAAGGAAAGGAGGTCGCTCTATGCGTCCACCTCGGGATCCACACTCCCGTCCAGTGGAGTCTCCCAAGTAGTAGGCTCCTCGACTCTTACGTCCTCCTCCTTAAGCGAGTAATCTGAAAAATGTTAGCGATAGGGGGTGAGCACGAAGCTCTGTAAAAAAATTCTCCCAAGCCCATACAAGGTTTAGAAAATCATTTAAAATGGTCGGTCTCAATTTTAACATAACATAGATACATAATTTGAAATAAAGTAGTGACATTTAAAAAAGATCTCAAGTTTATTTAAAAACATTACTTAAATGAATAAACGAGCACCACATACAAATAATAACTATTAATTATCATAACCAATTCCCAACAATTCTTTCGGTAGGTGGCATACTTTGTGGTAACCTCCACCCCCCTTTAGGTCACCTTTGATTCTCAAGCATCCTTACCGGCAACCTCTTGAGAATGGATGAGCATCCTTACAACCTCTCACCAATCACTACATTATTTCCCAAGCATCCTTATCGGGAACCTCTTGGGAAGGGGTGAGCATTCTTACAAGGAACCTCTCACTCATATGCATCACAAATAACCCAACCAAGCATACAATTCCAACATTTATCTCAATTTACAAGCATCTATCCAAAATCCCCAAAATATATCATGTAACAATTCCACAACCAACTAAGAAAATACATGAGATCACAATAACATCATTTTTCTACCTAACACAAAGCACTAAGGTTTCGAAATCCATAACAAAGTAAACATTTAGGAAGGAAATACATCACTCTCAAGAAAGTAGGGTTTTCAAACTAGAAAGGAGATTTCATGGGTATTAAACCCTACTTTGTTCAAAACATGTAATCCTTGCAAAAAACCTAAGAGATGATGATTCCATAGCATATATATATATATCATTGACAGGCAAAACATACATATATAAATACCCTAGCATCAACGTAAGTGAATGAGAGAAAACTCCTACCTTGAATCCTTAGTTTGTAGGAAGACTTGAGATTTGATCTTGAATCTACCCTTAAATCTCTTGTTTTTCCCTTCCTTTCTTCCTCTCTAATGCTCTCTAGGGTTCCAAGAGATGTGGGGTGAGAGTGGAGTGAAAGAAATGAGAGCAAATGGGATGAAATGGGGTTTAAAACACCTCAGCCCTGAAATTCACTATTCACAGCCTGTTTTGGTTTCGCCACTAAGAATCTCCAATTTGATTCATATGACTACCCTAAGGTTTTTTGACATTATGGATTCATTTTTAATGTTATTTTAACCTAAAAATATTTATTTTTATGATTTATCTCAAAATCATAGTCAACGTACACCCGAAACACTAAATTTTCTATTTTACCCATCCGAACCAGCTATTAATGAAATTTTGCGTTGTTTGCAAATAAAAGGTGATAAAGGGTGCTTCTTAAAGCCTTCTATACTTACTTAAAGCCTAAATTTACTCATTATTCTTATATTTTGATTTAGGATGCAAATGGAGACGTTAAATGCAAAACGAAGCTAATTGGACTGTTTTGACATCGCTTCGTTATCTGGGCATAACTCTCTCATCCGAGCTTCGATTGAGATGATTCAAGATGCTGTGGAATGAAAAGAAAGAGATAAAACTTTTATGTTTTGAGGTTTGAGAGATATTGACTGCATCAAGGTCTAAATCGGGCTTGAAGTTGCAGCCAGTGCACTGTTCAAGCTAATTGGACTGTTTTGACATCACTTCGTTACTGGGCATAACTCTCTCATCCGAGCTCCGATTGAGATGATTCAAGTTGCTATGGAATTCTAAGAAGGATCTCTACAACTTTCATGTTTTGAGTTTTGAGAGATATGGACTGCATCAAGGTCGAAATCGCGCTTAAAGTTGCAGCTAGTGCACTGTTCACGTCCTGTTTCATCCCTTTTCCATTTCCAATCCATTCCTAAACCAACCAAATCCATCTCAAACCTCTCCAACACATATTTCTACACAAAACCTATTTAATACAAGTTCTAGGACCTAAAATTTCATATTTTCACTTATTAAAACCAAATTTCAACTATTATTTCTACTAACATTTTAAATCTCTACTTTTCCAATCTACCAAATTCAAACACACATCACTACACATATCTACATTTTTACCAAAATTATTTACTATATATCTATATACATATATAAAAGAAAATGCGGGGTGTTAAAATCCACCCCCCTTAAAGAAAGTTTCGTCCTTGAAACTTACCTCAAGTAGCGAACAAATATGGATACTTCTCCCGTATTTCTTGCTCCGGTTCCCATGTAGCTTCCTCCACTCCATGGTGTTGCCACAAAACCTTCACCAATCTGATAACTTTGTTGCGAAGCACTTTTTCCTGGGCGTTGAGAATTTCTACCGGTTGTTCTTCGTAGGTTGCTCCGTCTTGAATTTCAATCTCCTCCAATTTCATGACTGGAGTTGCATCGGAGTGACACCTTCTCAACATAGACACGTGAAACACATCATGTACTCTGGATAGTTGGGCTGGTAGTTGAAGTTGATATGCCGCCTTGCCTACCGCTTTGATTACCTCAAACGGTCCGGTATATCTTGGCGCTAACTTTCCCTTCTTGCCGAATTGAAACACGCCCTTCTTGGGTGACACCTTGAGAAATACGTAATCTCCCCCCTTGAATTCTAAGGGTCTTCATCTGTGGTCCGCATAGCTCTTCTTTCAACTTTGCACCGTCCGTAGCCTTTCTTGAATGAGTTGAATCTTCTCCGTAGTTTCTCGAACAATGTCCGGTCCAAACAAAGTACTCTCGTCAGCTTCTAACCAACACGTCGGTGATCGGCATGGTCTTCCATACAATGCTTCATATGGTGTCATCCCAATACTTTCCTGATAGTTGTTGTTATAAGCAAACTCCACCAACGATAAGTGGTCGCTCCAACTCCCCATGAAGTCCAACACGCAAGCGCGTAACATATCCTCCACAATTTGTATCACCCACTCGGATTGCCCATCCGTTTGGGGATGAAAAGCCATACTGAAGTGTAACTCCATCCCCATCGCTTGTTGTAGACTCTACCAGAATCTCGCCACAAACCTAGAGTCACGATCCGACACAATCGGGAGCAGAACGCCGTGTAACCTCACTATCTCATGGATATACAGCTGGCTCAAAGTCTCAAATGTATTTGTGGCCTTCATACCCAAAAAGTGAGCGGACTTGATGAGTCTATCCACAATGACCCACACTACATTATGCCCGCACAACGTCCGTGGTAAACCCGACACGAAGTCCATGGTGATGTGATCTCACTTCCACTCTGGAATTGGCAAAGACTGTAGGACTCCTCCTGGCCTTTGATGCTCAATCTTCACCTGCTGGCACACCATACATTTTGCCACAAACTTGGCCCCTCCACCAGTATTGACGTTTCATGTCCCTATACATCTTTGTGCTACCGGGGTGGATAGCAAACTTGGAGCGATGACACTCTCCCATTATCTCCTCCTTTAGGGAGGAATCATCGGGAACACATAGCTTCTCCCCATGTCTCAACTCTCCATTCTTCCAAGACCATCCTTCAATCACTTCTCCATTCTCCAATCGGGCTCTAATCCAATCGAGTTCCAAATCCAGGCATTGTAACTCCACTACCCGTCGCCAAAGCGTTGGTTGAGCTAAAAGGTTGAATAGATATGGTTGATACTTTGGTCCATCCACCCATAGATCGTACTCCTCTAATGCATCAATCATTTTCCACCTATTTACCGCAAGAAAATTGATTTCACCCCAAGACTTCCTACTAAGAGCGTTGGCAACTACATTGGCCTTCCCCAGATGGTAGTTGAGCGTGAACTCATAATCTTCCAAGTACTCAATCCACCTTCTCTATCGGAGATTCAAGTCTTTCTGTGTGAAGATATACTTAAGGCTTTTATGGTCCGAGAACACTTGAAATTTCTCCCCGTATAAATAACATCTCCACAACTTAAGAGCAAACACCACCGCAGCCAACTCCAAGTCGTGTGTGGGATAATTCTGCTCATGTACCTTGAGCTGCCTCGAGCCATAAGCCACTACCTTCCCTCCTTGCATTAGAGCGCATCCCAAGCCTCATAGTGAAGCATCAGTGTAGACATGGTAGCCTTCCCCACTGCTCGGAATAATAAGGATAGGTGTCGTCGTCAACTTCTCTTTCAAGGTGCGTAAAACTAGTTCACATGCTTAAGTCCACAAATATTTCCCCCCCTTCTTTGTAAGGCGAGTCATCGGCATCGCAAGCTTGGAGAACCCTTCCAC